AAACTAGTAAAACTTATTATTATTTTTAAACATTTTTCATATTGTGCTAATAAATATGCCCAACAAATGTTTTGTTCCCGCATGCAAGTCTGGTTACTTAAGTAATACTAAAATATTAAAATCAGCAGGGAAAAATGTACCATCCATGTTCCATCCACCACAAGTAATATAGACGGTTATTGTTTTGTTTTAAATTATAATAATATTTTGTATGCTTAATTATGTAATGTAACATACCTCTAACGAAACTTAACACGTTGACCACCGAGAGGAACCCTGCGTCCACAATTTTTTTTATTATTCTACTGATCTTTGTATAACATTTTTTTTTAAGACAAAAGAAAACTATACAATACATATAAGTAGGTATATAACTTAATACTAAAATAATTAAATATACAATTAATTATACAAAAAACCAATAATAAAGAACAGTCTGATTTTTAATACAAATTTAATGTTTGCATTAAGTATGTCATTTAAATCAAAATGTTCTCTAGGGTTCTTACATTCTAAGTTATCTCTTAGAGACTTTATATTTTTAATAAGAATAACAAATACAATGTTTGAATATGTAGTCTAAATTATTTATTTATTAATAATCAATGGACATACGCCCTTTAACAAGAAAAAAAAACATTACATAATAATTGACACATATTAAACTAATAACAAAGGGATAAATAAAAATATAACTAGAAAGACAAAAAAAAAAAAATAATAATAACAAAAACAAAATAAATATATAAAAAGCTACATAATAACTAATACAGGTATTCTGGTATAAACATGAAAGTTTTAAAATTATTTATCTTGCATACAAAGTGTCTTCACTGGAAGGCTTCTTAAATCCGTCCTTTCCTCAAGCCACTTATTCATTCAATTATCTATTTTACTTATTGTTCATTTTATTGTAACAGATTGTAAATAAAAATTATAAAAATAAAAATAAAAAAATTTATCTTGCAGGACTTACTATCTGTATGGAATAATAAAATACAACGGAAAGATAGGAACTTATCGTTTACCAAGTGTAGTCATTATTTATAAACAAATTGAAATAATATGCTGTAATCTAGAGTAGATAATATAAAGTATGTTCAATGTTCATTTAATTTTTATTAATTCATCTAGGGTAGTGGATATGTTAAGTGTTAATATTTTTTATTAGTTATGACCTTACCCAAATCCTGCAAAAATTTGCACTACGGAAATTTGTTTATACTCTAGTAAAATTATTGATAACTAATGTGTTTATTGCCATTGATAATTTAGTATTGAATTAATGTCCATTATTTGGTCTATTCACACACAAGATAGTTTGATATAAAATGCAAATTATACAGTATACAAAAATCCCAGAATATCTAATATTTATAAATGGAGAGTCAGGTAGGCACTATGAACAACGGGTTCTCGGCCTATAGCCCCACATCAGATTGACAATACAGGACTCAATTCCTTGATGCACAAAACATTTTAATATCAGTTTAATGTAGGTTATTTGTTAATTGTTGTGTCACTTTATTTGTAATCAAAATAACTTACATATTCTATTTTTTTTTTAGTATACTTAGATTGATTTGTAATTATTTATTTTTAATGAAATGAAAACCTTAAATGATAGGGGCGTTGTAAAAATGTATAACTAAAAAAAAAAAGGAATGTGTGAATAGACATTTAACTACTTTAGTCTGGCTCCAAATTCTGAATCCAAGTACATAAATTATACATTTGTATCTGTGTATTTATGAATTATTTTTCTAAATACATGGAAATTGTTGATTTACTTTGTTTTATAATGAATAAATGTTATCTGTTTAATATAATCATTTACTATAGTAAATTAAGATACACCATATTATTGTTTTAAAAAAATATTTATTTTGTAATTTACTAGTTATAACACATCAATCTGATATAAAAATATAAATTATATTAAATAAATACTTCTGTATTATGTATAATTAACAAATAATAAACTTAAATAAATTATACTACATATTATCATAATATCATCTATTTATTCCATATTTGATAATGGGAAACTAACATTAACGATTAACCAATAACCACAATATAATTTCAGAAACAGTTTACCGGCATTTATTATCGTTTATACGTGATAAGACCGTATACAAGGGATCAGTAACCAGCAGAGGCGTGCTGAATAGTAATTTTTTGAGGAAATTGCTTCAGGGAAAATTCGGGTAGGTGGGTGGGTGTGTTAATAATTAGTATAGATGTGCAACTTAATAATATTTATTATTTTGAATAAAAAAAAAAAAAGTGAAAAAACTGTTGGTGGTGGGGAGGGGGATCAAATTGTTTGCCTCAGGTCTGCTTGTCAGTTCGGCACGCCACTGGTAACCAGTGCGGCAGTGCTATATTATGTAACCATGATGGTAAATTTATAAAATACGGTTTGAGCATGACAAAATAGATAGGTATGTCTGTCAGCAACTTTTTGATACGCATCGGGTTCGTCGACCACTCCACACCCCTTTCAGGGCCGTAGCCACGGGGGGGGGGGGGGGTTAGGGGGTTCAAACCCCCCCTTGGAAAGTTTATAAATTTATTTAAAATATTTAAAACTACTAATATATCTTATATATTTAAAAAAAAATTTTTATCAATAATAGTTATTAATAATATTTTAGATGTTTGTGTTGTTATCGGTTATAAGTAAGGTATTTTGTGTATCGTCTAATGGTCGCAATGACAAATCACCATTAGGTACCATAACCATTTTGTTACTGTGATAATTGATAATCTTATTATATGTTCATGTTGATAATACAGAAATTTAAGATAACATATTAATTAGGTATTATATTTAAAACTTTAAAAGTTAAAACCATGCTAAAAAAAAACATAGATTTGAGATAAAATGATCAGTTTGGCCAATATCAGTATCAAGGTTCTTGACAATTTAAGGGAAAATGTAGATCATTAATTTAAAAAAATGTTCAAAGAAGCTCAAGTAATGAATGCCTTAAATTCAATTTTAATGTTCATTTTTTTAACTATAATTATATTTTTAAATAGAGATTGGCTGAGATGTTAGACTTTGAAATATCAGTCAAACAGCTGAAAAAGAGTCAAAATATTTTCAAAATTGTATGGTGTATAGGAAATGCTAATATTCAGTGAAATTTTCATGTATCTACAGTTATTCGTTTTTGTATTACAACAAAATAAGGAAATCGCTACATGAGAAATCGAGTGAATATCCAATGTTGTAAAAATTTGAATTTCAAACGCTCATAAAAATTTAATTTGACTTTCTTATAGACATTTTTTTTTTGATAAATGTAGATAATCTTATGAGGAATCTTGTATTACATTTTCAAATCTTAGATTTAAAAAGAAAAATTTTTACGAATTCTTAACTCAAAATAATTTGCTAATTTTCGTGATTTTTCCATATTTTGTCAATTTTTGAACTTTAAATGCTTATAAAAAAAATTGTGACTAAGGATTTTTAATATTTTTCATCTGCCTTTAAAACAATATACTAGGAGGCTTCTCTTAAATTTTCAAGCTTTCGCAACCAACAAATAAAATTTTATTGATATTTTTAGAAAAAAAACTAAAAAAAAAATGGAAAATTAAAATGTACCTAAACAGTTCAAAATAAATCAAAATATTTTGAAAATGTTATCGTGTATAGAAAATGTAAATATAAACAACCAGTGAAAATTTCATGTACATACGTTTATTTGTTTTAGAGTTACACTAAAAACCAAAATCGATTTCCCGGCGCTTGTGAAAACTACTATTTTTACTTTTGACCCCCAAAGTACCAACTAGATTCACTTTCCTATCAGAAAAGCTACTGTTGAAGAAAATCCAAGCACTTTTACTGTCCTAAAACGTGATGACAGACACAAAAAAAAAACAAAAAAAAAAAAAAAAAACACATCATTGTAAAATCAATACATTCATCGTTTCACTCAAAATCTAAAAGAAAAATAGATCTGATATTATAACTTATAAGACACTAAAATAAAGATATAAAAATATAAATAATGTGTTATTTTTTTCTTAATTTACTAGGTATAACATGTTATTATTATAATAAACCCCCCCCCCATATAAAATTCCTGTCTACGGCACTGACCCCTTTGATAAGCTGGTTCGCCAAATGAAATGAGACAAAGTACGACTATGGCCGAGAACTGAGAAGGGTGGGATGCTCTAACCGGACTGCGTCTCGTATTGTTGCTGACATAGGTACCTATGTCCTATCTATTTATTTTGTCATGTTATTCCATAGATAATAAAGATATTATCAATGTGTTATTCAGTATTCACTATTTCACTGGACAATCGGATGTGTTCGGCTGGGAGGGGTGATAAGATATTAAGGTCCAATTCGTGTGACCTTTGTACTATTGTACTTATTAGTTATTATCGTTTATAACCGATTATTATCGATTATTATGGGTATTGTTAAATTGAGATAAAATTTCGTTTTGACTTCTGGTTTTTACAGTTGGGTTGTTAAATTGCCAAGTAGCAGTAAATTTAACGAATATTTCAGCATTAATAAGTCGTAAACGGCTTACTCAAATTAAATTCTGTAAACGTTAAAATTTTTTTTTTCAGTATGTTTATAGATTTTCGTTATCGAAAATAGGTATTGCCATTTGAAAATCGAAAGTTGATAGTGTTTTATCAAATAAGGGAGGAAGTTAAAATTTTCAAAATTGTAACACAGTGTAAAATAGTAAAACCTAGAAAGTTTAAAAAAAAAATTATTTTAAAATTACTAATACTTCCCGAGATATTAACTGGTTCACGATAAAAAAAATCACCCTGGATAGCCCCCCTCCACAAATAATTAAAAAAAACAAATATATAATTATAATTTACTTATACATTTTAACAAACATAGTTATGTTATACATTTTTTATTTCTACAGACTATAGATTTCTTGTACCTACTATGTACAAAATTAAACATTTTTTTTTATTTTTATATTAACTGTAAAAGGCTATATTTTTATGCTTATAATAGAAATAAGCTGTTTTATAAAATTACTTTTCTTGCTTTTTTTTAAAGCAAAGTCATTTATTATGTCATCAAAGTTTAAAGAAGATGTAAGATCACTTTCTATTGATAGTAAACCTAAGTTATCAAGTCTTTCTTGAGTTAGTGTTGATCTTAATCTTGTTTTAATCCTCTTCAGTACAGAAAAAGACCTTTCACTACTACAGTTTGTATATGGAATTGATAAAAGTATCCTTAAAATAGTTTCGACGTTTGGAAATGTTTGCTGGATATTCATTTCATATAAATACTTAAGTTGATTATGTGGATTCTGCTTACATTGGTAAACATCATCGATGGACTCAATATAAATTTGAAACTGAATAAATTCATCAAAAAAATCATCGACTTAAATTTCATCACAACAACTGCTTAAACATTTTTCAATTTTCAATTTGGTTTCACTTGAGTTTGATTCTGATCTGTATAAGAAACCAAATTTGTCATCCAGTTCTTGATATTTGGATTTTCTTTTATTTAGCTCAGTCATCAAATTATCACAAATTACAAAATGCACATCATAGATAAATTTTTGTCTTTCTAATAAAATAATTTCAGGTGTGTTTGTAGCATTAAGACATTTACTTTTAGGAATTTTTTTTTCTCAATAAAGTATAATCAGTTGCAACATTAAAGCATGATGATCTTTCTTCATATATATTGAAATTATCTCTTACACTTCGAATATAAATTATTAATGAGTTATAAATAGGAATAATATTTGAGAAATTTCTAGTCGTTGATTGTAATTGAATACTACTTTCATTAATCCTGCTAAGAATAGAGTTCCAAATACAAGTGAAAACAGCAGTTTCTTTTTTTTTCAGTTGTTTTAATAAGTTAATACTTTCAACTCTATACTGAGGCTTCTCATTTTAATTTTCATAAATATTATTCAAAACTGATAAAATTATATTATAACCATTCTGAAGAGCTTTTACTACAATTGCATTAGATGACCATCGAGTTTCAGAATGTGGTTTTAAAATAGGTGTATGTATTTTTTGTTTTCTTAAGGTTATCAGTTAATAATTTCCATCATTTTGTAGAAGAAGAAAAAAATACATAGATATTTTTTAATATTTAAGTTCCAATTTTTAAAAAGATCAACAATACTAGATGACAGATCATCAGACCATCAATACTATGAAAAGTCATGAAACGTTCAATAGGTTCGCCTATATTATTTACATATCTTAATACCACTGACAACTGATCAATATGTGTAATATCTGGTGTAGAATCTACAATAAGACCAAAATATTTTGCTTGTTTTACATTTTCTATTATATTATTTAAAACTTTATTTGCCATAAAATCTATGAATTCACGTACAGTAAAAGATGATAAGTAATTTACATGACCACTACCAAGATTACCATATTGCTTTAAATGTTGAGAAAGAAACGGATCATATTGACTAATTAGTTCCATAATACCAAGGAAATTACCATTATGAGGAGAATTTAATTTTTCATCACTTCTAAAGAATGGTAAGCTACGCACTGACAAAAACTTAACAGTGCTTACTACGCGTTCCAAGATACTATGCCAGTAGGCAGTTTCTTGTTTTTGTTGTACAATTAAAGCAGAATCTATACGTCTTAATATGGACGATCTGTTTGAAAAAGTGCATACAGCTTGACGATGCCAAACGATTTTTCATGAAGAAGTAGTCTATTACTAATATTTTTCCAATCATTTAATCCACTTTTACAAAGTTGAATATCTGTATGACTTGTGTTATAAAGAATACAAATATAACAAAATACACTTTTTTAGTGGGAGAGTAAATTAACCATTCTCTTTTTATTTTGTTTTCATTTTTTTTATAGAAATAAAAGTTGTCATTGGTAATTTTTCTTAAAACCCTACCATAAAGTCTACCAGAATTTGAAATGCGGTCCATGTTCTGATTTTGAGAACTTTCAGTGAAATATTCTTTAAATTGGTCGGTGATCATTGATGGCCAAAGACCAATAGCTTCTTTAAACATAGCATACTGATCAATGAATGTATATGTAGTCTGATTTGAAACACCAATATTTTCATTGATATCTTTTCATGAGAGATTCTGTTCGACACCTAAAATATTATAAAATTATAAATTATAATAATTATTAAGTACCTACCTACCTAACTATTTAAAATAATTAGGTACTATACATAAGTTATATAACATTTGAAATTATTCATTGTCAAAAAAATTACATTGGGTTCTATTCTATTGGTTGATCTTAGACAATGTTTTCCAAGTACATAATTTGTTTCATGTAGCGAGTGCTCAACATTTTATTTTGCATTTTTAGCATTATTGGGTTATTTTTGTTGGTTTTAATGCATATTTGTTCAAAATGTTACCCCTTATCAGATAAATAACAAATAATTAGTGATTTTGTGTTACATCACTGTTATAGTTCGTATGTTTTTAATTCATGTTCGTAATTTTAATAGGGATAAATATTGTGTTGATAATGCCCCCCCCCCCCAAAAAAAAAAGAAATCAATAAATTAATATGGTATTTTTAATGTCATTTTTGGGGGTGAAATTCATTTTTTAAGGCCATTAATTAAATTTTTCACATTTTTAAACCATTTTTTTACTTCGTTAATTACATTTTTAGGTCATAATTACATTTTTCCTAAGGCATTTTTAGGTATTTTTTAGGGCATTAACGCCCTACTGATAATACATCAAATTATAAAATAGATTTTAATTTACATCATTAAAAATAGGTACTATTTCCATATTTTTTTTACTAAATATATTACTATGTTAGTCAATCATTTTTTTTTATTATTCATTATTTAAATCAAAATAAAAGAATTTAAAACGATTATTTCACTCAATGGAAAATTTAAAAAAGGAACATCTTTAAGCAAATATGAAATACTAGCTGATCCTGCGCACTTCATGGCCCATAAAAAATGACAACCCTTAAAAAATTTGTGATTGTTCAACTCCTTTTGGGTGTAACTCACTGCAGTAAGTGCAACTTAGCCACCTTGGCAGGCAATGTTCGAAAATTCGATTTGATGTATACTTGTACCTGATCTGCCCGATTAACCAATAGCAACCAATAATAAATAAATAGCATTTCTATTAATTATTTCTCCTATAACCAATCGCCTTCCTCGATGAATGGACTATCCAACAAAAAAATATTTTTTACGTATATTATTTGTATAGTAAAATGTTTAGTAAAATACCTAATAAATACCTTAAATTACTTTTATTTATATCGAAAAGAATAAAAACAGAACTTAATTCTTACCTGTTTTAAGCATTATAATAAAGTCTTTTATAAGTCTTTTGGGATACAAATACTACTACTACTACTACCAGTGGCTACAAAACTTTTTTTCCTACAAAGCAATTACCCTAAATAAGTTCCCACACACCAATTTTTTTAACATTTTACACTTATTTTTTCACAAATTTTAAAGGTGACTATGCGAGTATAAATTATAAACTAGTCTAGGCTGCAGCTGCCTCATAAAATAGCTATTCACCCCGCCATTCACTACTAAGACTACTAATATAGTTATTACCAATGTTATTGTAGGTTCGGAGAGCAATATTAATAAGTAGAGACAACAATAACCAATTATTAAAAGCTGCACAAGAATGGTCGACACAATATTACAGCATTCATTTGAGGGTTGGCTCACTCTGCAAGAGGTTACCTACTGGGATCAACAAATTGGACCTTTACCAACTGGTAAATTTATCTTGTTTTTACTCATTTGATTCTTACTAAACAATTATAAATAATTAAAAATAGATGAGCAATTAAATGATCAACCATCAAATGCATTCGTACATAGACTTCTTCAACCACTACAATACCTACCAGGATAAATAAGACGTGGTGCTGGAATAAGGGGCAGAGATCAAGTCCGGGTACAACCTGCTGTTCGACCCCGCGTTTTGCACGTTGCAACTTGCAAGAGGTCATTGACGCCGAAAACGTCAAATTAGTAGTAAAAGACCTCATCGGAGATTAAGTCAAGATGCAATGGAAGGTTCCTAGGACTGACATTTTAAAATAAATAATACAATTTTATAGCTACCTATTGTTAAAATGATAAATTTGTTTGTATAGACAACATAATGCAAGTTCTACCTGATTCGGACATCAAAGGTACATAATATCATTTCAATGTTTAAAAATCATATAAGTTATAATAAAGCAGATTTACTATTGATTTTTTTCTGTAGTTGTTCATTTTGAAATAGTTGAAGCACTTCCAGATGAAAGTGAAAATTTAGGTAAGACATAGTATTTATTGTTTAAATTAATATTAGTATGTAAATACTTGTATTCTTAGAGGATGATAATGTTGAGATTGTGGTGGTTAGAACAGAAGCTGAAGAATTTAACACAATAATTTTGGAGGATCGGCATTACCACAAATATCAAGTTATACGTATTATGTATATTCCATTCCTAATGTAGAAATTGTTATTAGTTTAAACATAATATTATTCTTCATACTAGGTAATACCTATAAAAATACTACATTAACTATAACATATTTTATACTAATACAGGCGAAGAATATGAACGTTGTTTTGTCTGTTGACAATGCAGAGATGGTGTTGTAAGTATTAATATTGTTCTGCTATGAGGACACGGGTGGTGTTGTGATCCGTGTGCTCAACGATTGTCCAAATGTCCTGTCTGCAGGGCAGAATAACCAAGAACCCTAAATATTAATATTATGTTGACAAGTTTAGATAATGGTATATATTTGGTATGTTTTGACATTTAACAGTTAACATAAAAATATATTTACTTTTTGGATATAGTCTCTTGGATATGCAATATTAATAGCCTTGTGGACCCGACTGGCAGTAACTGCATTTGTTGTTGGAGAGCGTATAGAGACCCCCTAAATGGCTCAAGGTATGTGTACTTATATTGTGTACATATTAGATGGAGGTGCATGGAATGTATCATCTCCCTTCCAGACTTTTGTGAACAATAATATATTAGCTTATATTTTTTTTTTTTTGTCTTACTATGACTGGCTACTATGGCTATAATAATAATTTATTAATATTTGTATGGTACATTGGTACCTATTTATAAATATAAGATGCTTATATTTAACTTGTAGGTATTTAGTTTGTCATATTAATTTAATGTTTTTAAGTATTTAAAAATTGTATTTTTATTTATATATTTAACCTGTTTATTAACGTCGATGAGTTTACCTATAGGTACTATAGTA